TGATTTCGTATGAAACGACGAGGGATTCATAAATTAGGTTCACCGCAAGCTAGTTAAATTGCTATGGTTAAGATCGTAGATTTGTTCAAAAACACCCTCGGCACAGTGACTATATCAGAAGGGATTCGGTGTCACTGGAGGGTGTGGCAATGACCTATTCGTACACATTTGCTATCATAATGACAATGCAATTCTCTTGCTCTCCGTTTCAAATGAAATTAAAGGTACCTTGGCCCGAATTCGTTACGAAGTTTAAGAAATCCAGCTTAGCCTCGTACATAAAAAAGCGTGCAAATGGGAGTCAGAATACACCAGCAGTAAACTTAAGGACAGAATGAAAACAAGAACAAAATGAAATTGTAGGTAATTACTTTATGAAAATTAAATAAAATGATGCAAATATTAATAGCTTACAAGGCCTCGATTAATAGAAATACCCTCCTTGGCCCGATCACCAGTGGCGCCTGTCCTTTTGAGACGTTCACTTCCTGCCAAGTCAACGAAATGAAACTTGGCCGTTAACGTCTCAAACTCAGAATTGCGAGAATCAACAGTAGATTCAAGACGTTCAGAAAGACTAAGGACGCATTCACTGTCAGCGCCATCTTTATCTTCATCACAATTCGGACTACTAGGCTGAAATATATTAAGACGAAAAGCACATAATAAATCAAAACCTAGATGCACAAGAAATATGACACTACATAACATATTAGACTAATTTAATTAAGGAAACTAGCACTCTTGACTATAAATGTCGAGTAATTTGACAATTCCAACATAAAAATTTGAAATGAGAGGCCCGAATTGCTTTAAAAGTCAAATCTGCCCTCTGGCCAATCGATAAGCGTGAGTAACGTACCTGTAGCATATCACAAATAAGAGTTGCTCGCCCGGGTTCGATGTCTATTCCGGATGCTGATGATACTCATGCGAATGTGAAATTGCAGTCAATCTTGGAGACAGGGCTAGTTGAAATTCAATAGCACCACGGGGACCACTAACATAATCAGTCTTTCAATGCCCTAAGCAGACTAAGGTAATTATAGATCTTATTCAAGAAATTTTATGCGATAAAAACTACTAACATAAGAAATATGCACATAGGCTAAATGTATAAGCTAACTGATTTGTACAAGCTTGAGCTAGTAGAGAATAATACTGATTGTACAATTAATAGCAGCCACCACAGTTAATTGGTAATTAATTTACCTCATCTCGGCTGGATTGAACCTGACGCTGCTGTCTAATGTGCAAAGTAAAAATCGCATGTGAGCGAGAGGATTGTGCATTCATATTTGTGCTCGCGGTGCTGCGAACAAGTGACCCATCTTTTAAACATTGAAGAGTCTGTTGGTGATGAAATAAAGGGATACTGTAACAGGAGTGAAGTAGTAACAGCAAGGACAATAGGAAATGTACACATACATCACTGAGGTTGGATACAAGGCGGGTAGAGACACCTGTTAGATAAATGTCGCCCTGAGCATTCTCGTGAATGCGCAAATGATGCTTTTTAGACTAATGAAGGATTATTTTAATAGAAACGCTCACCCTTCCATATACAAGGGATGGATCAAGAAGATCTACAATTTCCTCGTTATATAGCTACAAAGAGTTGAATTATCACACGTGTATTCAGAAAATTGAATTAAATACAATTTTTACCTCTAAGAATTGAGCAACAACTTTGAACTCTGGCACTGGCAATTTGTTAGTAGAAGCATTACTACGAACTTCAGATATGCAGGAAAAAAGATATTGCACAGCCCTTGGGATTATCCCAGATTCACAATCAGAGTAAGAAGAATCAAAACTTGTTCCCATCGTGAAAGTCTTACCGGAACCAGTCTAAAAATAAGCAACAAATTGAGTCCACGTTACCTGTCCATAGGCTAAGACTGTTGCGTTATATCCATTTAGACATCTGAAAAATAGTGTCTAAGAATTTTCATACCCATCTATAAGTGGTTTGGCGAGTCCTCGAAATAAATCCTCCTGCCTCGAGAACGCATCGAATATATAGTCAAAAGTAAAGGAGGCGCTCTTTCCCAGAGTAACCTGTGGTTCACTGGGAGTTACGGAAGTACAAATTTGATTCATGGCCAATTTTTCTTTGGCGCTTTGCGGCCGAATTCTACCAAATAATTTCAGAAAATAGGATTACCGGACAGCAACCTTTACGGAGGTACCATCTTCGGAAGAAGTCATAATTCAAGGCTTTTAAATTTATACACCCCCTCGCGTGTACAAGGTTTCACAACCACTAATTAACTCAGAATAACAACAACCATTTGCAAATCTAAAATGTATAAAATATGTAAACAACATATGAATACAAATTATTATAAGTTAAATTTTTATCATTCTGGCTAAGAATTGCATATCGCATTATAACGCGTAGGTACTAGAAATGAGAAAAGATACGAATAATTTCGCTGAAAGGTGTGAATTTAAATATGTGCTTGCATATATTAGAATAAAGCATATTCTCATTGCACTAAAATAAAATAGTTGAAGGCATTTCATTTCATAATAAAAAAACAAGTGGCATTGAGATGTTTGATTGAATTTAAATATGAACAGAAACTGGGTTCGATTAATCTCTTGAGATAATATTATTAGGGGTACTTTCAGTTCGCATGAAATTAAATAAAGAAGAGATTTGTTCGTCGATCTCACCAGATGAGAATGGATGAATTTTGTTGTACTGCAGCCGTTTTGCTTTTATACGATATTCATTTTGACGCAGTCCACAAGACTTCCTCCCTTTTTTCGGGTGAAAA